TTCATTACTTTCATACATTCACTGCCACGTTGGACACAAGCATCAATCATTCCGCATGTGCACAATGGTGTTTCATGTGCAGGCAGCTTCAAAGCTGTAATGTGCTTGTGATGTACCTGTGTCAATGTCAGCGTGCGTTCGTGCTTGGAAATGTCTGCCAGCACCTCGCACCAAGTAAGCAAAGAGTGGACTCGTGGGGAACAAGCGCTTGGCAAACCAGCTGTTTTTGTAAAGCATTGAACAGTATAATAATAGGGGTTTTCCCCTTTTTTCTGGCAACAAAACTGAAACCTTTTTACGAGGATTCATGTCTGCATTAACCACAATACCTGCAGTCAAAATGCAAACAAAAAACACACTATGATAATATATGCATTGTCCTTGAAACTGATTGGTCCACACCAAGGGACGGCTTTCTTCTGAGCTTCGACCCAATTGGTGCTCGACCAGATGACGCCAAAAGCAATGAACATTATGTTCTCGGATTGACAATTGAGGCCAGAAAAGTCAACAGCGAACCAGTCCTCAAATTACGTCATTTGAATGGCATGCATTGAAATGGGTTAATAAATGCTCATTACTCTTTGTAAAGTCACGTACGTAGAAAAATTTAAGAAAATAAAAAATATATATCACGACGTTTCGATCGCAACACAAGCGGTCGTCCTCAGGCGGAAAAATAATAATCCAGCAGTGGAACTGCTGAACCAGCGAGAGAGCAGCTACAACAAGAGGTTATTTATGTGGCGATGGGCAAGCAGGCAGGGTCTGAGCTGGAAAGGAATTCCATCCCCGGATGCAAGCACGTCAGTTGTGTTAATGGGGGAGATTAGAGAGAGAGATTAGCATGAAATTAGCTTCCGTCGCCGCACAAGAGCACCGTCCCCGCATATGCGCACAACAGCAGTGTTAATGGGAGACTAGCACTATGTTGATGGGAGAGATTAGGCAGAGAGATTAGGGGGATTAGCAAGTTAATGTCATATCTATGTGTAACACAAGCTGCGGCACTGCCAACTGCGCCAGTGAGACACAGGGCCCATCACACAGCCAGAACCATGTTAGTGAGACCCCAGCCCGTTAATGCAGAGGCACCTAACAGGGCAATGCAACTCAGAGAGTCGGAGATAACAGCCAAACAGCAGGGAAGAATGGAAGCACCACAGCAAGTTACGACTTTGCTTGGTTAATAACGTCCTTCCAATGATTGTTCAGCTTATACCCATCTTCTCGGTTGAAATTGTCTCTGTGTTTATATATCTGGATGGCTTCATGGACAAATCTTTGATAGTAGCCCGAAGATTTGCAGAGTACCTTGTTCTCGGAAAAAAACATTATCGTGCGAGCCCACTGCGTTATAACAATGATCAGTCATGGCAGAGGTATTGGTTCTGACGTGTTTCAGATCTGCCTTGTGTTCGCAAACACGGTCCGAGACATGTCGTTTCGTTTCACCAATGTAACTGCTGCCGCAGACACAACTTAGTTTGTAGACACCAGGGTACTGCATGTCAGGAATGACATCCTTCACAGATGGGATCAAATCACGGATTTTGTGTAGTGTATGAATCGGACCTGGATCTTGTGTTTGTTTAAGATGTTGGAAATCGTTTTGGTAACACCTACTATGTATGGCAAGGTGATGGTTTTGATTGGGTCCTCAGATGGTTGTCTCCCCATGGTTGGGGATACACCTTTGCGGATTGTGCGGTCTGAGTATCCATTCATCTTGAGGGCTTGGTGTACGTGCTCCAGCTCACTGTCTAGGTGGCACTGGTCGGAGATGTAGCGGGCCCTATGGTGTAGTGTTTTGATGACGGAGTTCTTCTGGGCTGGATGGTGGTGGGAGTCAGGCTTTAGATAGGAATCCGTGTGGGTGGCTTACATGTCGATGAAATGTCCCAACGAGCCATCAGGCCTCTTCTCAATCATAAAATATATAATATAATATAAAGGAGGTATACAGTTCTTGTTTGCATTCTGACCACAAGTATTATGGTTAATGCAGACATGATTCCTTGTAAAAGGTTTAAGTTTGGTGTTTTAACATCTGTTTTGTTGGCAGAAAAAAGGGGAAAACCTATTCCCATATTTTGGTCCTGGCAAAGGTCCCATGATGTAGCTGCTCAACCCGAGCTCTCATTACTCTGACAGTGGCATTGTCTTTGTGCTGTACGCCTTTTGGCGTCATCTGGTTTAACACCGTTTTGAGACTAGGCACAAAAGAAAGCTGTCTCTGGTGTGGACCAATCAGTTTCAAAGACAATGTATATATTATCAGTATGTTTTTTTCTTTTTCATTCTGACCACAAGTATTGTGGTTAATGCAGAGATGATTCCTTGTAAAAGGTTTCAGTTTGGTGTTTTAACATCTGTTTTGTTGCCAGAAAAAAAAGCAAAACCTATTCTCAGTTCTTAAAAAGTTGTAATTTTGACATCAGCTTCATATAAAATTGCATGCTCAAAAGCAGACTCGTGTAAATTGGTTTGCCGGATGCGTCAAGTTTAATGCTGAAAATTAATCTGTCATAATTCATGAAAGGTGATAATAAAAGTTGGTATAAAATTCCCTCTTTTCACAAGGGCCACGGTTTGATTGACATGTACACTTGTCTGATTATGGACTTGGCAACTCTGTGCAAAATTTCAGAAAGAGCAATTTAAGAAGAGACAAAGTCACACTTGCAGGGTATCCCAACAGCAGCGCCCAAGGTCACATACGCCTCAATAAACAATTTGTGAAAATCATCTTCCACCTTGACAGACATTAATAGTAATATTATATGAATAGGCACAACTGTTTGGTGGACAATAGGATTCAGATCTCTATTATAGCATTGATGTACGGGAGGAAGTAACCGTAAATGACCCAGACTGATGATTACTTAATCTCCTAAAGGACCTAAAGCTTCAGGAGGGAAAAATAATTACTCACCACGCTTAAGACGCTATTTCACTTTTCAGAAATTACCCAGTAGAGCCCTGTTTAAAGTGAAGTCAGTCCGTTGATTTGGCTAAACCCTTTGATGTCAAGCTCGATTGGTAAAACTTGTTTTTTTGTCTAGTCTTTCACCTGAGATATGTAATGCTACTCAAGCAGCAGTTGTAACCTGTATATCTACTGCAAAAAATACCAGACGTATGGTTTAACCCGATTATAACAGCGAATGCTTAAAGCCACTTAATGTCGTATTACATAACGGTCAATTGTAATAATGTAGCACTGACAAAATTCAAGTGTAAAAATAACTACAACAAGCGATGGTCTTGTTTATACACTATTGTATTGTTTTTTTTGTTATTAAAGCAGAACTTCCAAAGTGGCTTCCAAGAGGAACTATCAAACGGGAGGTTGAACAAACATATTTGCACGTGATAGAGGCAAAGAACAACTGCACAAAGCACAATAGGTGGTGACACCGGCAAACACATTACATTGTCAGGGGCTTATCAAGCACTCCCCGCTATTGTAGCGGTGTTCACAATCAATGATTAATATGTGAGATGAGTGAGAGAATCAAGGGCCATCTTTGTATATATTTCACAAATCACGTTGTAGGAATAGAATGATAAGCATCACAAAGCAGTCTGTTATGCAAATTACTTGATCAGCATACGGCATATCAATTAGTACCAGAAGGTAAGTCTACGTGGGGTGGTGTCAAACTCTGGCAATGTGCTACATAAGTATTAGGCATGTCAGCTACCATACATCAGTATACATCAGTATAGGCCTACAATACGGTACATATGTTGCTGTTACCTGTATACAATACGTATGTGATGGTCTATGCCAAAATTACCCAGTACTCTCCCAACCTCGTCAGCTCTCTGAAGCTAAGCGGTATTTCAGCCTGCAACATACCATGCATAAAGCTAATTTTGTAGTCTCTTACGGGGCTATGTAGTCATCAGAGGGCAATGCAGCAAAATCTACAGTTGTACTATACTATGCCCCAACACGCAGTGACCAGCGTGGTGAAGTATAGTCAAGTAGCTTATAAGGCGTGGAGGTCTTCATCATGCAGTGGATTGACAAAAGTGATTCATAGTGGGTGCATCACGAGTTCCATATCAACCTGGTTGTATGAATGTACAGGATTTATGTTGAACTTCTTTCGCACCGTACGTAGCCAACCGTACTAATCCGAGGTGCTCACTAACAAGCACTCGGCCCTGACATTCTACACACACGGTAGATGGATGACGTTGTACATGTGAGAGTTATATGCAGGACTTATTTCATATCAATACATTACATGTGCGGGCATGTCATGGATTATCTCCTGAATATAAAAAAACTAAAATTGAGCCTTGGTGAAGTTGCATCTCTGGCAGCGCAGTAGTGGAAACTCCACCTTCCTTTGGCCGGGATCATTTTATGCAAGTTTTTTTTTTATAGAAGTCGACAAATCACGTCTGTCAACCACAACCAATGAATAATTATCATGAGAAAGCAAAGACCAAGATCACCCCCCCACCCAGCGTAGCCTGTAACAGACTGTTTGGGGGGCAAGTGCTGTTCGCGAGCACCTACGAAGATCCGGCATTGTGACACGCGAGGGGGTGGAGTGGGCCAGCAACCACGCCCGGCCGCCTTTGTCTCCCGCCCCCCGTCGGCGACGTTTACCACACAACCGCACCAGGTACTCATTTGAGGCCGAGTCGACCTAGAGGGGAGGAGGCCCCGGGGACCGGTTCAATGAATCGCCACTGACGTTAGCCGTGAGAGGGCTCGCACACCGACCACGGCACACGCACAACACCCGGCCGAGAGGAGCCGCAGCCAAATGCAACGAACAAACTTTTAAAACTCGATTTGGAGTTTTCGTGACTGCAGGAATTACGACTCTTTTGGTTACTTTGTGAAAAGTCACTTAGAAATAAAATAAATAAAATAACAGAATCCGCCGTTTCGATTGCAACACGTTTATTAAATGTATTTTCTTTCTAAAGTGACTTTACCGAAAGAACAAACTTTTTTGTTTGTTTTGTTTTACCAGCGCGTGTAGGGGCTCTTGGAGTCATCCAGCACCCGATCCCAGCTCTTGGTCCACGCCACCCCCTTGGCTGCCTCCGCCCAGAAGCGCTCCGGCTCGGACTTGGCCAACTTGAAAGCGGCATCGTAGTCGCCGCTGCCGGATGATGAGCTGGCACGGGACTGCTGATGCTGAACGAGGTGAAGCTGATGATGGTGGTGGTGCACCAGCGACAGCTGCGAGACGGCGGCGGGTAGGTGACAGCGCTGGAAGGGAGAGCGTGGAAACCAGGCAACTGCTGTGCAACCTGCGCGGATCATCGTTGATGGGTGTGTGTGTGTAGGGGGGGAGAGATGATGATGATGGTGGTGGTGGTGATTGCAAGAGGCTCTGGCTACCGAGGACTTGCGCTGGGCAGAACCTGCCTTTAGTCAACCCGGGGGACACACGACGCAAGTGTCCGAGCGCGTTTTGTCGAGCTCGCAGGCGGGTCGGGCCCCTTTTTATTCCGTGCGAAGCCGCAGGTCGAGTGCGGAGGTACAGAGGAAGGTGGAGTTTGAGCGATCGATTTGGTTGCTAGTTGGTGGTTGATGATGGCGATGAGTTTCCGCGTCCCTGGCTCGATCGGGGCGGATTTTCCTCGGATGCGCACGAAGGCATGGGCGGTGTGTGACCACCACCACCAGCACCACCAGTAGCAGCAGGAACGCGACTACAATTCCGCCGGCCGCCGCCACCACCAACCAACCAACCCACACCTCCCCCCGACCACTCCTACGAAGCAGCGCTCATACCACTACCATAGATGACACACAGCGCAGGCAACCACTACCGCCATGTGCCAACCTCCACGCCTGCATTTCGTTTCTCCCCCAGCCCCACCACCAATCTAACACCACTTTTGTTCACCGCCCTGCCAAGTTCTTTCAGCTGAGCGCACACCGCCACGTGGACGCGTTCGCGTGTAAAGTTAAGCAAAGCGATGTTTGACATCGAAACTTTCTCTAACTTGCAAACTGCAACAGCGAAACGCGCGCTTCTTCAATGTGCAATCCCTCTCCTCTGCGTTCTTTCACGCGTCCAAGTACAACAACAACAACAGCAGCAGCGGTAACAGCGGTAACAACAGCAGCAGCAATCATCAATGCAAGACAACGGAGCGAGTGGTGCAATGTTGGCAATCTGACATCCGCTCGCGCAGGTGGTGACGTGTTCACCAAACGCTTTGTGGTCGTGCTATGGTACTACGACAAATAGTTTCAGTTTATTTTGGTATAGCCCTGTGAGCCGTCCGGCTCTTGAATCGGAGTGCAACCACAACAAACGAACAAAAAAAACACGGACAAGAAAAAACATCTTAAAGTGACTGTGTGTGACTGTCACAAACAGAAAATCCATGGGGGGAAAACAAAAAAACAGCAAAAATATTCCTGAAAAACAGCACCGTACACCACCAACGCTGTGTGCAAACAATCCCAGTGGGATGCAAGTCAAACAACAACAACAACCACATAAACTTAGATTAAGGCCATCAGTCTAAAATATCCACCCCCCCCCCCCCACAGTGTCGACTAAACAAAGTTTTGGGGCAAGTTGCTGTTGCACGGCACAACAACGCAGCGGGTCTGTGGGTGGTCAAGCACCACGCGCGACCGCCTTTGTCTCCCGAGTGGCGAAGTTTTCACACCGCGACGACAGCTACACATCTTCTTTGGTTCTTTCGGTAAAGTCACGTAGAATGAGAATAAAATAATAAATTGATAAAATAAAATAACACAATAATATTCTCACGACGTTTCGGCCACAACACAAGCGGCCTTCATCAGGTGAAGGGACGAGACTGTCTGGTAGGACAGCGCTGTCCTGATGAAGGCCGCTCCTACCAGACAGTCTCGTCCCTTCACCTGATGAAGGCCGCTTGTGTTGTGGCCGAAACGTCGTGAGAATATTATTGTGTTATTTTATTTTATCAATTTATTATTTTATTCTCATTCTACGTGACTTTACCGAAAGAACCAAAGAAGATGAATCATTGCAGTCACGAAAGCTTTAAATCGACAGCTACACAGTTTGAGTCGACGATCTCGGTGAAGGGCCGTCCATAAATGACGTCACGCACCTGGGGGTTGGGAGGGAGGGGGTCAGACATTTGTGACGATGTGTGACGAGGAGAGGGGGGGGTGTGAAATGTGACGTCACATCAAAATGCGCAACTTTAAATAAATATAGACAAGTTATATATAAATAGACTTTTTAATAAATGTTTTCTCCTACAACATCAGAGTGCAGCGCCACATTAAATACGCAACTACAATGACAATAGTTTAAAGCGATTTGAAGCATGTTTTATTTGGGGGGGGGGGGGGGGCAGAGCTTTGTGACGTCATATTTGAGGGGGGGTCTGACTTTTTGTGACGTGGTTAAAAATCGTCCAAAATCACGTGACGTCATTTATGGACGGCCCCATACTCTAAACTCTAAAGGCTTGTCCTCGAAACGTGGAGGGAAAGAAATCGGAGGAACCGGAGATGAAATCCACGCGAGAGAGACACGCAAACTACAAAAACAGGCGTCAGGGTCGAACCCACGACCTCCTGTATACCAAGCGAGTGAGTTAACATTTCGCCAACCGCGGTCTACTCAAACGCTGGAATTTTTTTAATAAATTAGTTGACAATGTATCCTACACATATCTACGTACAAAACATTGTTTCAAGACAAGCAATCTCTGGACCGGTTTTGACATCCAGTGTCTCATCAGCAGCAGAGTCAGCCTTGCTTGAATCAGTGCTGGTGACCTGCCGATCTTACAGGCAAGGACCGGTTTCGACATCCAGTGTCTCATCAGCAACAGAGTGAACTTTGCTGGAATCAGTGCTGGTGACCTGCCGATCTTACAGACAAGGACCGGTTTTGGCATCCAGTGCCTCATCAGCAACAGAGTGAACCTTGCTGGAATCAGTGCTGGTGACCTGCCGATCTTGCAACCAAAGATCGGTTTCGGGATGTAGTTTCTCATCAGCAAGTCAGCCTTGCTGGAATCAGTGCTGGTGAACTGCTAATCTCGAGAGACAAGGCTCATCGGATTCCTCCAGTATAAATAATGAACAATTCAACCTTATGGTGGGTTACCCCGGGGTTCCATAGTCCCTGGGCTCTCGCATAATGTCCGTGATGCAGTCATTTTTTAGTCTGTTGATGGTCGGCGATGCGGCAATCGACTCATCTGGACGAGCTGTACTTACGATGCAATCGTCCTCGCTGCGTTTCGACTCGCATTGATTTCGGATTGATTGGAACCATAGTCGTGGAGTGAAGTACACCCCTGGGCAAAAAAAAAATAGTGGCCCAGAAATGAAATAATTAATTGCCTCGACCAATTTGTATCATTTGGTACCACGGGATACCACCACGAGGATCATATTCTGATGGTGATATTGGCCATGCCCACACCAACAAACTCTCAACTCGCATGAATATTAAGCAGGTTATGAATATTATTGGTTCTTTCGATAAAGTCACGTAGAAGGGAAATAAAAAAGATTAAAAAAAACATTCTCACGACGTTTCGATTGCAACACAAGCAATCATCGTCAGGTGTGAAAACCATAGCAAAACAATTTAATTGTCTTATTTTTATTATTTTATTATTGCCTTTCTACGTGACTTTAACCGAAAGAACCAAGAATATGAATCCCTGCAGTCACGAAAGCTTTAAATCAAAAGATGATGATGATAATCTTGGGGGCAAATGCAGGTTATGAATATTAAGCAGTCTATGAATTTTGATTTTCGTCTCCCCCCTCCTCTTTTCCGAACATAGATGGACTCTGATTTAAAGCTTTCGTGACTGCAGGGATTCATATTCTTGGTTCAATTAATAATTTATTTCTGGGCCACTACTTTTTTTTGCCCAGGGGTGTACTTTACCGAAAGAACCAAGAATATAGATGGACTCGTCCATCTGAATAACTGCCAAATCGCTCTCCGTGGTGCTGACGTTAAAAATAACCCGCCACTTTTTTCAAATTTTCTTGCTGTGGTTTTCACACCTGACGATGATTGCTTGTGTTGCAGTCGAAACGTCGTGATAATTGTATTGTTTTATATTTTTATTATTTTATTGTTTCCCTTCTACGTGACTTTACCGACAGAACCAAGAATACAGTCTATGAATATTAAGTATAAACGCACCTTCCGGAAATACATTTCCATATCGTGCCACGCCTATAAGTTAACGCTGACCAATCACAAAGCCTTCGCTCTGTTGGAACGTTCAGGTCAAACTCTGCTCTCAGCCAATGAGCGCGGTGCGAAGGCGAAAGAGGGCGGTAGGGTTAGGGGGGGGGCGTGTCGTGAAGACGACCAAGCGAAGCCAATAGGAGGTCGCCGCGGAGGGCACGTGGCGCGGCCGGGGGCCAATAGGCTGTCTCTTTAAGGCAGGGGCGGGGCGGGGAGGGAGGAGGAGGCTCTCTCCTCCCTCCCGCCCCAGCCCCGCAACGCGCAGGGCGATTATGGCGACGGTGCCAATGGAGCCGCTCCGCCTCGAGAGAGGTGAGCGCCGTCTGCGTGTGCCGAGAGACCTGCGGGGTCGCCGACACCGACACAGCCACAAACCGCCGCACGGGGCTACTACTACAGCAGCAGCAGCTCGCAGTTACTCTCTGGCGTGTTGAGGACTCTCCACGTTCATCTCTGTGTGTGATGTTGTGTTGCGATGTTGAGTGGCCGGCAGTGTTTAAGTTGGTTAGCGGTCGCCGCGCTGCGGTGTTAAGGAAACAAAATATATATACCCGCGCAGGTTCGATGTCCGGTCCCGGCTAACGTCAGTGGCGAGCAGCCGGTGGGGTGAGTTTGGTGGGGGGGGAGCTTTCTACTCTCAGCCGAGACCAAGGGGGCGATATAGCCGCACCGCGGGCACACCACATCGAGTATACTACACCTCTCGCTGTTGGCTCTGCTACGAGTCACCTGCCGTCCCTCGGCGTGCCGGCGACTCTGAAAATATATCCCACAACTCGGCACACCGCGTCAAGTATTATACCCCTAGCCGCGTCCGTGGCTGTCTTCTCAGTCACCTGCCGTCACCTTCAGTCTGTTAACGACCCGGATAAATAATGAAACAATTGTAACCCCTGGTGACAAGTTTCATCTGAATCTGTCTCGAATGTCCACCCCTCAGTCGGCTCAGCCTTGAACGAGTGCCCGGTGGCTGCGATGCTGATAGACATCTGGGAAGATAAAGGCGGCCGAGTGTCCTCGTCCGCCGCCTTGTTTGTCGTGCCGGTCTTAATAGGCGTTCGCTATAAATAGAACTTGTCCCCTCGCCCCCCCGCTCAACCCTCTGTTAAATGGTTGTTGCTGAGTTATCTCATATTGTGGGTGCGTATAACTCGAACGTGGTTGATTGTTGCAGGGAGTTGCTGCGAGTATGCGAGTGGAAATTCCTCACTTGGGGTCCATCGGGGTCAATACCAAAAGCAGTTGAGGGAAGGCGACAGAGGTGGCCTTTAGGTGTGCTTATCCAATGTCATAGAGAGTCACAGACACCTAGTTCCTGGGTTCATTCACTGGGTTATGGGTGTCTCTTGGCCCACAGCAAGGCACCTCGGTGAGATTCTAGTTCGAATGTGGGTTTCAGCCATCCGTGCTTAAATTGGCCTCTTTCAGGTGTAGTGGTTTGTTCAAACATTGTATATATTTTTTGTAACTCTTAAGCTTAATCCAACGCCTCGAATGAGTAGTTTGGTTTTACTAATAAGCGACACACGCCTTTTTGTGGTTTTATAAAAAAAAAAGTGTGTCGCCAGGTGGGCTAAACATTCCTTTGAAGTAACTTTCCGAGGAATTCTGATGCCATCATCCTCCAGGGTTGTTCTCTGACACACGGGGTGGTGCAACGCTCACTGTGAAAGTTCCCACATGGTCATCATGTCTTCGTGTAATGGACAAGACACTGATATAATTGAACCAAGTGGATACATATATATCCATATGGTTGTAGTATAAATTCACGAAACTCCTATCGTATAAATGTGGTCTTTCCATCATTGGCTCAGAGCTATCAGAAATGATTGCCACCACCCCCACATTTCTGCAGTTTTTAAACTGTAAAACACACTACGTGCATATATTCTCATTACAGTGTGTGTACCATATGGTGTACATGAATACTCTTAAAAGATACACTTACAATTGTCTGTCTTGTAAGGCATATACTGTAACAACTTACCATGACGTGAGTTTATAATATAAAAAGTATTGTGAACAGTATTTGAAAACACTGATCGGTACATTACGTTAAACTTGTTTCGCTCCGTTCGTAGCCAACCGTGCTCACCTGTATTTGTACCATCTATATATTTGTTTTACTTGGTGTATTATTGTAATGAGTCACGTTCTTCAAATTTAGAGCGCCCAGGTTTCCACCCCCTCGCTTATCCTTGCCGGAGGCCGTGGGTTCGATCCCGAACCTGACGCCTGCTATATATTTGGAGTTTGAATGTTCTCCCATGGTCGCGTGGATTGTTCTCCGGGTCCTCCGGTTTTTCCTCCACATTTAAAATTAACATGCCTTTAGAGAGTATATGGATACTGCTATACATTTCCACATGTTAAGCCACTTCGTTGAGCTTTCATTTGTGTCCAGGTCGCTTCTGAAAAAATAGGGGGGTTTTTTGCTCACTGGGCCTCACCAGGTAAAATTAAAAAAAAAGTTAGTTTTTGTTGTGCAGTAGTTCAGTTTCTGTAGGGTTCTGGATGCTTTGAATTCTTTAAGATGTTGGACAACTTTTAAAAGGCGATGCCCTTGAGTCAAAGTTACTGGGCTGGCTTTTCTCTCTCTTAATCTCGTTGGGTAACACGTCGAAGCTGTTAATTATTTAACGTGACCATACCTTGATAGAGGAGGAGAATGCCTGCTTTTAAGTGACTATGCTTTTAAAGATGGCAAAACTTAAGTGAAAGCCCGTAAACACTTTTATATTCGTTGGTTAAGGCAATCTGTCAAATACTGCATTGGAGGGTGCATGGAATTATCCACGCGAGTAATATGATTACGCATGTATCTCATTTTAATTCAGGGTCTGCAGTTTCCGACAGATGAATCTGTAATTTTCTTATACTTAGATTTTCCTCAGAAGTGTACCACTTGCGCTGATCTGTGTGTTTTTAGCTTTGTGCTTTCTTGGTGTCTTTATGTTTATGTGTTTTTAGACCCTTCTCATTTTGTTATCATAAGCAAGACTACTGGTCCTGTAATACATTTAACTTTCATTGAGTACTGTAAATCTTGATTAAAACATGATTTGAAGCGTTCGTTGCTGCAGGAATTACTCTTTGGTTCATTCTATTATTTAATTTATTTTCTTTCTACGTGACTTTACCGAAAGAACCAAAGAGTACTGTATATCAGTTTATGTGGCTTGGTAATGTTTTCATTTGAGTACTCGACCTCACAATCATGAAATTGTGAGTTTTAAGCCCAGGACTGGAGTCGACTCACCTATTTGTCCCTCTGGGGTCAATACAATGAGCACCACATGATAGGATGTCAGTGCTGTATTAGCTTTTGTTCCAAAAGGCCTGTGTGAATAAGAATGGGAGACAAGTCCCCACCATAAGCGTATCAGTTTCCAACACTAGTTCAGGACCACAGATGTGAACCCTAGCCAGTTCTCATTGGAGCATGGATATGCTGAATACGTTTTTTATATTGATGGTCGTCGTGTAAAAAAAAATTATGCTGATGATTATGATGAATGATATTTTAAGAACATGGTCGTGATGGTGTTAATGGCGCTGATTGTGCTTTTGAATTATGCAAATAATGTGAGTTTTGATTTGTGAGCTTTTCTTACAATTGGATTTTAATGGGGCCTATAAAACAGAATTCGGTGATTAAGTGTGTGTGAGCGCTGAGCCTGCAATTACTGAAGCCGTCTGCACCCTTCCATCAGATGAATTGAGTGCTGGAAAAGGATGCTTCAGCAACCAAAGCCAATAAATGATTTCCTGGGATTGTAGACCATTCCTTTAAATTATACAAAGTCGATTGGTTGTCTCTAATGCTATAATCTAGAAAAAAATGCTTACGTATTATTTCTCTTGTATTGGTTTTATTTAAGCAACGTGCATGTCTAAACTTTTTTTTATCTATGTAAACACTTGCGGGCTTGAAGCACAAAGCTCATTTGCTGCGTGTGCTGCAAAGGCTTGGACTTGGCATGGGTGTTGGTGAATTGTGGCTTTGTAAGGCCCTGCTAAGGAATTATATATGATTGTGCCAAATTATTGTTCAGTTTGTGCAGTGTAGTGTAGTTGGTGCTCCCTCAATGTCGACCCTGAGTAATTCCGACAAATGTCCATTCCGAACTTTGACGCAAATTGAATGAAATTGAAAATGTGCAATTTTTTTTACAAGCAGTTCAAAAACTTGCAACTTTGTGATTTCCTTTTCAGTATTTCTTGAGCTTCATATCACATAGACTTCACATCAATGTTTGTCATTTTGAAAAATGGACTTGCGCTGGACACTTTGCAGAGCGCGTAACAATCCTTTATCTTTTACTGCATTGGAGCAAGGATCTGTTCCATAACTGCAATATTTTATGATTTCCTTACACCTTGTTATTGAACCCCACTGCATTGTGCATCTTCCAAGGAAGGGCATTGATTTTCATCACCGATTTTCCGTGGTGTCTCTGCCTGTGCATGCTTGTAATAATGCTAATAATATTTTTTCCCTACAGACATTGCGCGAGCAATAGAGCTTTTGGAAAAGTTACAGCGGAGTGGCGAGGTGCCTTCAGAGAAGCTGCAGGCACTTCAAAGGGTTCTGCAGAGCGAGTTTTGTACTGCCATACGAGAGGTGAGCATTGCAGACTTGCCTGCGTCATCATGCAAAGGATCATTCCTTGTTACAATTTTTTCACGTTTTAATTCCCTGGGGGCAGATAAGCCGAAAAATAGATGATAAGCGTATTGCTTGAGGTGTGCCGTAGTGTGCGCGCAGACCTATCATTTGAATACACTGTGGTGTTCAGGTGTATACTTAATATTTGGGCTCATGCTTAATTTGGTAGATGTAATGTTGCAAGGTTATCGAGGGATGTAGATTCCAGTTTTTATACCTTAAAATTCAACACTTAAAATTGATTCAGATATTCAACAATGGATTAACATGTTCTCATCTTCGAAGCTTACAAGCATCACAGCTGACATTCCTAAAATTATAATGAGGCAGTTGGTAACATTGGATTTTTGCCATGCAGTGACTAAACAAAAATGACTTAACTTAATAGGCTTATGTTCTTGACCTTGTCTGAAATGTTTTTTTTACATAACGTGTCATTAACTTTGTAATCTCTTTTATTGATTAAGAATAGACTGCGGTTTGTCGTAAATGTGCATTCTGTTATTTGCAGGATTATTTCTGTGAATGCTATAATAATGCACTTCCCCACATACTTTTGGCAGTCTAAGATACCACCACTACATGACTCCACATGGTCTAAAATAGAAGGGAGTAAACACAAAGCAGCTACGTACTCATTAAAATTACGCTTTGAACTGCATGCCGCTCTGCAGCTATGTATCACAATCTATAGTTTTATTTCTCAGCAGTAGCAGACAATGGAAATTACCACCATGTTGGACTTCATCATATTCGTTCTCTCCTGAATACCGAGCTGTCAAACACCATAACCTGATCTATCGTCAGATCCAGAATGGACTCTATTGCAACGCTGTCTTCTCCAGCATGTCCACAAGCGTCAGCAGTTCATCCAAAATTTCCTCGCCCACACAGTGCTCGGCACTAGACACAACCCATGAGTTTATACGTTCCACAGACGTTCTAAATGTTCTTCACTGGCTTCCAGTTCAACAACACATCTTGTACAACGTCGCTGTCCATAGCACATATTGGGTCAACTGGTCTAGTAAGTGTTTGTCGTCTCATCGTACGTTCCATCTCACAGCCTCTGATCTGCAAAAAGTGGCCTCCTTTTCCGAACCCCAACATCTCTCGAACTAGACGAGGCAAAGGTCGCTGCTGTCACAGCTTTTAGTCACCTAGAATTCAATCCCTCGTTCACTGCGCACATTGGCGTTGGTGTGGACCTTCTATCTGAATTTGAAGACTTTTCTTTAATTTATTCACCCACGCCTCTCTGCTTTTTAAGGTCAATTTGTGCTTGTTTTGAATATGACAATGAATTTATTGGCGAATATGCAGGCTATATGTTACCAGTAATGTTTACAGAGTGAGTGACAAAATGAGCTGGTGTTTTACCTGCACCCATGGGAGGCTAGCTGCATGTGGAGCCTGTGTCCCCCATTAGCACAACTGGCCAACTGCTTGCTTTATATTGGCCTCTGTCTTATCTCTGAGGGTTCACATTTACAACTGCAGCACGCTTGACAAACAATGGGGGCCTGTTCAGTAAACTTGCAGCCATGTTGTAGTTCATACCCTTGTAGCTTTGTTATCATTCCTGTTGGAATTTTAAAAACAAAACTAGGTTGGAGTGTAAAATGTGTAGCTTTTTTGGATTAAATAATATAGCGTGTAAAGGCAAATGCTAAGCAAGTGTCAGCAGTGCCTGTGTTTGTGAAAGACAAATCCTCATTTTGTGTTTCTGACTGCCAACGGCATAATGTGTTGTGTAGCTGACCATGCAATTCATGTGCATCTTACTGCAGTCAATTGGAGTTCATTCATTTCAAAACAATGATAATTATATACTGAATATAATGCAAGTCTTCCCTCATACCACACATCATTTAGGTGGATATCGAAGTGTCCTATACACGGCTCATTAATATTGGACTGTAATTTGGACATCTAAATAGTGTTGGTACACACACCAGTACAGTTAGAATTGAGTAACTCCGGATATTGATTACCTCACCACGAGCTGTGTTTTAGCAATTAGTGTAATTGCATTGATGCTGTTCATTATACTGAATGACGTTGCTTGCTATATTGATCATCACTAAGACTCCCGGCTTATTTGAGCCCTCAAACTAGACAAATCAGCAAAGTAGTGATCTTTCCTAAACAGAGATGATGGCAATGGCCTTTCCATATCTTCTGACTCTTTGATAGCGACGTGCCAACTTGCAATGATTGCCCTGCCTCTTTCCCCGATGCGTAGCAAGCGCGAGTTTGTTGTTGTGCATGCGTGTGTGTTTTCAGGTCTATGAACATGTGTACGAGACAGTCGGCATCAGTGGCAGTGCAGAAGTCAGAGCCAGTGCCACTGCGAAGGTAAAACTGAAACCCATTATCCAACAGGCCCTAACAAATCTACAATCTTCATTAATGGTCGCTTGCTGTAGAGGTGAAGATTAATGTCCCCACTAAGACTAATGGATTGGATGCTACTGTTTCCAGCTCTTTAAGATCGTAACTAATTCCATGCACATAAATATGGTTGCGTGTGTGATTTGTAACACATTCATATAAATGTTTCAATATACATCTTAGTGAATTTACGATTTGCACATTTTAATGCATACAATTTTAAAGTAAAGATACTGATATTAATATCTAAATATTTAGGTTTTTTTACTCTGGTCTATTGTAGTTCTGTATAAATGTCATTCAATATGTATTGAAAAAGATCATTACAGATGGCAAATATACTTAGCGGTAAGGAGAAATACACACTCGGTTGATGCGTTATGTAAATATGAAGAGGTTTTTCTTCATATCTTTGTTCTTCCATGGGCAAGGATATAATGAGTGCAGTCATGGAATTTTTATTATTTTTATGCTGCATACCATTATACATCGTATCCCTTCACTCATATTTCAATGCAGTAGAACCCTCATTAAAATGGGCTTCATGAAAGCATGTTTGTTTATTCGGAGGGAAAAAAAAACCATGAAAATGAATTCGTCCATAAATAATTGGTGCATGTAAAATTAGTTTTGTTGAAGATTTTGGCAGTTTCTGCTTTTTATAATGGCTCTTGCTCTATCGTGCACTTGCTTACATCATCAAGTTCTCGTGGCACTGCAATGCCGGAGAAAAATGACACTGCTTGCACTCGGAACGGACATCATTGTGCCTCGACTGTCAATGTGCGTCTGCACCAAAGGGTGGTATTTCAACAGAGGATCCTACCACTAACCCTTCACCGCTGTCCATCAAACCTGTGGCTACATAGGCAGTCCCATATAATGTTGGCCACACCACTCCCTCTTGTAGCTCGCTGGGTTCATTGAGTGCTTATTTCAAAATCCTACACTGAGTGGACAATAATCTTATTACATAATCATGGCACCCACTGCTTGAAGCTTGAATGAGGTTACAGCGGTAGGCAATTGGAAGGTTGTACGTTAAAATCTCGGTTCGTTATCTTCGCATGGCTGGGAAAGCAGTTGTAGTTTAATGTCGAGGTTAGCGATTCATTCAACGGCTTCAGGTGAGGTGGAGCGAGTGGTCGCGATACCACAATGGATCTCTCTCAGGCCAAAGAGTTCAGTATGTAGGGCAATCGTCTGACTTGAGTGGTGGCCACAGTCACAATTTGGGCTGCTCCTCACGTTCCACTTGTGGAGCAAGCGTCTGTATCTTCCATGGCCCTGTCCTCAAGTGGTTGAGGGTTGTCCAACTCGGCCTATTACACCTGGGGTTGATAAATGTAACGACGTGGTTGGTCAACGGTGGTCATGCTGTGGAGATCCTGGCTCCCATCATGGAAAATGTAGAATTCATATCACTGGCTCAGGCTGCAAATGGAGATGACCACTAGGCCATTACTGATTTTATCAGAAAGACACTGCCTATTGAGTGGCCCCAAAAATTCTCAGACTTCGCCTTCTTGCCATTAATTCCAACTATATGTGTAATTTATCATAATTTAAACTTATGCGACGCACAGTTTTCGCTCGCTGTCATAGCGAGAGAATGACTCAGAGGCATGAGGAGGAACCACGTGATGAGTCTTCGTCAATAATTACCCAAGCTCTGCGGTTCTCTATATATGAAAGTGTTATCAGCCAATTAATGACAGTTTATATATGGGGAAATAACCAGGGCACCCATAAACAAAATCCATGCATGCGAGGGGGAAACACTATCCCATACAGACAGAACAGGTGGAGTGTGCTTTTTTGCTGTATTGCCTTCTGGCAAACCAGAATATGACCCCTCAATGCCCAATTCTTTATAATGTGGTTTAGAGGCATTGGAATTGCAACATGTATGTTGAACGTCCTTTCGCACCGTACGTAGCCAACCGTGCTAATCGGAGGTGCCAGGTGAAGGACAACCATGGGGGGTCCGCTTGCTGTACACATGCAGTCGCATGTGCCCTCTGGAAGTCTGGAGTGGCAGAGCAGATTAACTGTTGTGTGTGCGGGGGCTGTGCAGGCCACCGTGGCGGCATTTGCGGCAAGCGAGGGACACGCGCACCCTCGCGTGGTGGAACTGCCCAAGACCGACGAGGGCTTGGGCTTCAACATCATGGGTGGAAAAGAGCAAAACTCACCCATATACATCTCCCGTATCATCCCCGGCGGCGTGGCCGACCGGCAGGGTGGCCTCAAGCGCGGGGACCAGCTCCTCTCCGTCAACGGCGTGGTGAGGAGCTCGTTCACCACTGCCATGACTTTGAGTAGGCACTGTCACAGTAAAATATCACCTACGCTGAAATGATGACACATGTATAATGCAATTGGCCTCGAAATGAAGTTTCCATCAGGATACCCATGTCACAATTTGAACAAGTATGGGGCATGCTGCTTTGTTGGTGGTTCTGAGCCAGTGGGAGAAATTCCACATAACTATGGAAGAGGCCTCTCAATACGACAACAGCTCTTGAGTAGTATCGCTTTGTGAGAAGTCACCAGTGGTGAAAAAACATTGCTGGTTCGTGAAGGAACAATTTACATTCGGTGTAACTGTTACCTCCGGTGTTAACGCGTTAATGGGATTTTCACCATGAGCTCCAATGCTCAGTTGAGCAGAAAGAGACTTTTTGATCTGTCACTTGTCAGTCGTTCTTTCCGAAATGCCTCAGGGCTGCAGACAGAGTAATTTAGGGAACTTTTTAACAAGGGATCTTAGGGTAGAGTGGGGATAACAATGGTCAGTTTTTGTTAGCTTGAATTTTAATAAACTATTTGGTGGTGCTTCATAGCAGTGGTGCACAAGCATAATTAGCACACATTCTCGCATTCGTCAGTGACATTGCCTTATAAGAACAAACAAAATATATAATCGGCGATGTTTTGGGCAATGCCCCTCTGTCATTTGTGTGCTCTGAAGTAGGGCCTTTGATATATGTTTTTATTTTAAGGCAGTGCCATTGGCGAATTCCGTTTTTTTGCTTAAATTATTGCTTCCAATGGAAATGACGACACTAATGACACATTTTCAAATTTTTATTTACAGTATTCTCCCCTGTGCTCAATAGTGATATTTGTATGTACAGTAATCTCTTAAGCGTCTTATATAAACAAGACACACAATTGCCTCGTTAATCCGGTCTCTCCCAATGCAACGCTCACCACTGAATGACAGAACATTCTAGGCACAGATGGTTTATAGTTGGATCTTTACATTAAACCTATGAAAGACCCCATGAGGTCAGCCGTGTTATGCACAGCATATAATAACGGCAGTGATTGCCTTGGTGGTTTTATAATGGGTGCTTGCATCTGGCCTGGCAGTACAATCTAATTCTGAATCTTTGCTTTTTATTGTATGTTCACTGTTAAATATTCTTTAACCATATTTTAACCACCGCCATATTAAACCAACATTTTTTTCTCACCATGTAACATGGTGCATTGACAATGCTTTTTCCACAATTTACACGCATGTGAATCCATTGTATCGCATGGTATAGTATGACCATAACACAAGCTACAGTGAGGGAAAAAGTATTTGATCCCCTGCTGCTTTTGTACGTTTGCCCACTGACAAAGAAATGATCAGTCTATAATTTTAATGGTAGGCTTATTTGAACAGTGAGAGACAGAATAACAACAAAAAAATCCAGAAAAACGCATGTCAAAAATGTTATAAATTGATTTGCATTTTAATGAGGGAAATAAGTATTTGACCCCTCTGCAAAACATGACTTAGTACTTGGTGGCAAAACCCTTGTTGGCAATCACAGAGGTCAGACGTTTCACCAGGTTTGCACACATCTCAGGAGGGATTTTGTCCCACTCTCTTTGCAGATCTTCTGCAAGTCATTAAGGTTTTGAGGCTGATGTTTGGCAACTCGAACCTTCAGCTCCCTCTAATGGATTAAGGTCTGGAGACTGGCTAGGCCACTCCAGGACCTTAATGTGCTTCTTCTTGAGCCACTCCTTTGTTGCCTTGGCCGTGTGTTTTGGGTCATTGTCATGCTGGAATACCCATCCACGACCCATTTTCAATGCCCTGGCTGAGGGAAGGAGGTTCTCACCCAAGATTTGACGGTAAATGGCCCCGTCCATCGTCCCTTTGATGCAGTGAAGTTGTCCTGTCCCCTTAGAAAAACACCCCCAAAGCATAATGTTTCCACCTCCATGTTTGACGGTGGGGATGGTGTTCTTGGGGTCATAGGCAGCATTCCTCCTCCTCCAAACACGGCGAGTTGAGTTGATGCCAAAGAGCTCCATTTTGGTCTCATCTGACCACAAGACTTTCACCCAGTTGTCCTCTGAATCATTCAGTTGTTCATTGGCCAACTTCAGACGGGCATGTATATGTGCTTTCTTGAGCAGGGCGCTGCAGGATTTCAGTCCTTCACAGCGTAGTGTGTTACCAATTGTTTTCTTGGTGACTATGGTCCCAGCTGCCTTGAGATCTTGACAAGATCGTCCCATGTAGTTCTGGGCTGATTCCTCACTGTTCTCATGATCATTGCAACTTCACGAGGTGAGATCTTGCATGGAGCCCCAGGCTGAGGGAGATTGACAGATCTTTTGTGTTTATTCCATTTGCGAATAATCGCACCAACTGTTGTCACCTTCTCACCAAGCTGCTTGGCAATGGTCTTGTAGCCCATTCAAGCCTTGTGTAGGTATACAATCTTGTCGCTGACATCTTTGGAGAGCTCTTTAGTCTTGGCCATGGTGGAGAGTTTGGAATATGATTGATTGATTGCTTCCGTGGACAGGTGTCTTTTATACAGGTAACCAACTGAGATTAGGAGCACTCCCTTTAAGAGTGTGCTCCTAATCTCAGCTCGTTACCTGTATAAAAGACACCTGGGAGCCAGACATCTTTCTGATTGAGAGGGGGTCAAATACTTATTTCCCTCATTAAAATGCAAATCAATTTATAACATTTTTTGACATGCGTTTTTCTGGATTTTGTTGTTATTCTGTCTCTCACTGTTCAAATAAACCTACCATTAAAATTATAGACCGATCATTTCTTTGTCAGTGGGTAAATGTACAAAACCAGCAGGGGATCAAATACTTTTTTCCCTCACTGTATGTGACCCCATTGTGGCCATGCTTTACTTTATTGGGTTCTCACTCATTGCATTTGTATGCACCGTCTATAATGTTAAACAGTGGTGTCCTCTGTATTTTGAGTGTTTCCATGTATGTATATATTTGTGTTACAATTCAGTAACGTTCATGTGCGCGCACCTGATTGTTAATCGACAGTACATTGCTCTTTGAGTGTTCACAAATGTTTACGTGTAACGCAGCGGTTAGCATACCGCGCCCAGCAGCCAGCGTTTTATTTTCATCAATGGCCATTAGTGGCAAGTGCTGTCTGAATCTGTCACAGGCTTCTCATCTCTGCAAGCAGGGCGCCGATTGCACCACCCCCTCGTGTGCCTTGCTAAGGCTGGTATTAGTAGGTGATTGCTAACAGCACATGCGCCTCTGCAGCTGCCTGGAACGCTCTTTATTCTGATATTAGGAAGCCACGGTGGAGATGGAGCTATGCATTTTAAAATCTAGATTTACAAACTCATTTCTTTAGAATTGCTTTTTGTGTTTAATCTGTTGTTCTTCCCCCGCACCTCCCCATTAGCACGGTTGGTTACATACGGCGCGAAATAAGTTAAACATTCATACACACACGCAGCGTCATGCTCCTGCCGAGTGTAAGGCTGCATGGGGGAATCTGTCTGCGCTTGTTCAGAGTGTGGAGGGCGAGCACCACGAGAAGGCTGTGGAGCTGCTAAAGCAGGCGCAGGGGACGGTGAAGCTGGTCGTGCGCTACACGCCCAAGGTGCTCGAGGAGATGGAGGCTCGCTTCGAGAAGCTGCGCACGGCACGGCGCCGGCAGACGCACAATAACAGCTTCTCTTAGGTGTGGCTTGTACCCCTCCCCCACGTGGTTAACCCCTTTCCCGTTTCCAAGACGTCTGCAAGTTTCAAGGTTTTGGTGTCCCATTCACCTCCAAATCTTGAAACGCACAAGCGGCTTGGCATTTAATTTTTTTTGGAGAGTCGTTGATTTTAATCACATTATGCTCACCGCAGAGAGCTGTAGCGACACGACCTGTATGATAGCTCGCGCTAAACTGTGCCACATGCCCTTCTGCATGACCTTGTGGGAGCCTTGGTGCCGACAAAAGTTATTTTGTTTTAGTTTCTTCTTCCGGTTTCGTTTTGATGATGTACACCTACGTCATTGAAAAGGAATCGGAAGAAAATTTGATGATGTGCACGTACATCATCGGAACGGGAAAGTGGTTAATCTCCCCCCCCCCCCCCACGTTCCACTGCTCTCCCCATTGCTGCCCATAGGCCTTGGAACACTGTGATGCAAACGGTCAGCTAATGGGAGACAAGTACAGCACCGCAACATTTGCAGCAGCAGCAGCCTTGAAGCAGGTGTTGTTTTCCCCCATTCATGCTTATTCACATTCATTCATTGGATAAGAAAATGTGAAAGTAATAAGGTATCATCAAGTGAATAAGGTATTAAATGAGTACTGCCGACAGTTGACTTAAAATAATCGACTGCTGTATGGATTTTTTGCGAAGATGCAATAATCTGCCCCTGCTGGGCTGCAGGTTTAAATATTTGTTTCTAATAGATTGGGTGCAAAAGTTTCCCCCGATAATGTTGCTGACCATCTGCATCACAATGTCCAAGGCATTTAAGGCATCCAGTGTATTCAGAATTGGTGTGTATAGGGCAATTGTATTTTCACCTCTACCCCCTCTTGTTTTATCCATTGCATTTTTAAAAGCAATGACAGAACCCCTCTAACTGTATTATACACCAGGGACTATTCCATCTAATGCAAACGCTGAGTATATTAAACCTTTATTTTTTAATGTAGAGTCTATAAGAAATGAACAAACTCTTAATGTGATGCAAAACAGCCTCCTTGCCTAAATTTTATATTAATATATAAATGAAACTTAATAGAAGAGTCAGAGGCTGGAACAGACTGAGTGAATGACTCAACTATTCCAATGTTTATCCATAAACAGCTGCCCCCCAAAAATGTATAATTTTAATATACATAGAGATGATTAGTTCTTTATTGTAATCTTACCCCTGCAAAAGCACACATTTGAAGGTGCAGTCTGACATTGCCAGGAACAGAATCTGGTATTGAAGGCGAAATTTGTCCTGTCACGGATGTCTCGGGGGGGGGGGGGAAATTCACCGTCAAGTTAAAACGTATTCATAACGTTTTGTTTGTACTTCGCTATTCATCTCAATATACAGGGTGATTACATTTTTTTACACTTATATGGGACTCGTCTTTAATGGAAAAAAGAACATATAATACACTATAACATGATAACAAATGTAATGTTAATAGCTTCAAAAAGTCAGAGTCTCCACTTGTTCGCCATCATTGTCAACACGTGGCCTGGCATCTTCTCCAGGTGGTCTCCAGAGCCAGGAGGGCGGCGGTACATTTCTTGTGGTGTTGTTGCAAATTCTCCGAAGTGTTAAAACATTTGTTTTGAAGCACCCTGTATTTAGCTGCTGAGCTTCTCCAAATCCCAGTAAAAAAAGATAAAACAAAATTCTGTATGATCTAAATTAATTTTAAACGTAAAAAAAAACCACTGGCTATTTTTGACTTGAACCTGCTTGACAGGCTTCATCCTTATCTGAAGCATGTTTTTGATTTTGAACCAGTCACACAGCATCATGCCGACATTGTTCAGGGTGTTTGGTGTAAACTTCCAGTCTATTTAATAGCCAGCCTTTGTAAGTTAATTTTAATCTCAAGTCACCGACTGCACCTTTAAATAATCCCTTAAGACCACTTGTATATAATATATATTACCTTATCAATTGTGTAAGTGTCTGTGTGTGTGTAGAGTAAGTTTTATTAAAACATCTAAAAGGCCAACCAAACCTTGGCAGACTTACAAATATAGAATTAGATAGATGGGTTATATTTTGTCATGTCCTATTTTTACAGTGAATAACATTTGCCGTACGCTATGGGCCAATATCAGAGAGGTGATGTGATACCTTAAGCACAAGGTTTTGCACAATGCACTCCGTTTCATCCTAATGTGATAAGCCCGTGAACTCGCCCGCTTATTTCACGTGCACACACGGCTACGTTCCTTTACGCGTACCTGCATTCACATCTTTCGGACCGTTTCGATTATTCTAAACATAAATCACATTTTCACAAGGGTAGTGAATATGGAACACTAATACGACGCCTAACATTGTCTTTTCCTCACAATAAAGTCAGTGTAAGACTGCATTTAGGACTGCCACGTAAAGCCATGATCAACTGCAGGTAGATGAGTGCATCATGGCAGTGGGACTTGTAGGCTTCGCAGTCCAGTAATTTAACGCTTCCCTCCAATCTTCACACACCAGCTGGTTAAAGTATTGAGACATTGGCCGATGCATAACTGGCATGGGACAATATTGTAAAATAACCACCTGTAAAACTAGAAGGTCGTGTAGCCCCACAAATACAGTGAATTGGGAAAAAACCCACAAGAATGGAAGCTGGTCTTGGGGTGCATGGGTTAGTGGATGGTTAAGCGGCACGTCCTAGCCACCTTCGTTCTGTCTCCACCCGTGCTTGTGAGCAAAGGCAACTAATTTAATACGGAGTATGGCTTGGGGTTTCATCTCGCTGGTTGCATACTCCGTCATGTTGAAAATTCAATCCTGCAATGAAAAAGGTAATAATTAAATACAAACCCCTTAGTGCATACAACCATATTAACAATTAATAGCTTGCATAATTACTTACGTACTACTTATGTGATTTTTTTTTTGGCTTGAATACAATAAGGTCCTGTGAATTAACATCTATTAACAAAGCAGTAATTGCTTTGGCTCGTGGACATTAATGGTTCCATTTAGTAGAGTCTTGTCTTATAAGTGAGGTAGGCAAACCATTGATTTTCTTCTTTTATTGGTTTGCGTTGAGTTTCCAGTACTCGCATTTGCAAAGGTTTTCATGCATTGGTAATATAGGGTAAAGAGATTTTATTTATAATTATATTTTACGTGCTTTCTTTATACATTAAAACACAGTAACATCCACATTAACCTGTTGGAAACTGAAATATCAGTCATTGGATTTAATATTGATGTCTCTCAAAGGTTCTAGATTTAAAGCTTTCGTGACTGCTAGGATCCATACTCTTTGGTGCTATTGGGTAAAGTCACGTAGGTGAAAATAAAAAAAAACAAAAAAATCACGACGTTTCGGCCACAACACAAGCGGCCTTCATCAGGTGAAGGGACGAGACTGTCTGGAGGACAGTCTGGAGGACTTTACCCAACTTTACCCAATAGAACCAAAGAGTACGACTTTGAAACTTTGATTAGCGTATCGTGTAGAGTTCGTCGAGAGGAATCGATGGCCGTATCGTTCGCCTTCGGATATAAAATGACGTCGCAACGCAGTTTATGCCAGAGCCGGAGGCTTATGGGACCCCCCATCCTGAATTTGACCTTAAATCAAGGATCAAGTTTACGGAATTCATACTCTTTGGTTCTATTGGGTAAAGTCACGTAGGTGAAAATAAAATAACAAAAAATCACGACGTTTCGGCCACAACACAAGCGGCCTTCATCAGGTGAAGGGACGAGACTGTCTGGAGGACAGCGCTGGAGTGGAAGAAGCCACGCTTAGATCACGACCTTTAAGCTGTGTGAGAAGAAAAAGACCATGCGCCTTGACAAAGGAATTAGCATATAATTTAGCATTGAAATGGCTCATTGAAATAGCTAAGTTAAAGTATACACATCCGCAGAGGTACCCCTTGACAAAGGAATTAGCATAGAATTTAGCATTGAAATAGCTGAGTGATTAGCTTGTAACTGGTCACAGAAATAGCTATGTTAAAGTCAGAGCATATACATTCACCGAGGCACCTAGTACTCATCAAACAGGAGAATTTAGCGAAACACAACCACGCTCAGACAGCGGACCTTTAAACTGTGTGCGAGCAAACAAGGTGTTCTGACAAAGAAATTTGCATAAAAATTAGCATTTGATTGGCGGATTTTAGGAAAGAGGTGGTGTACGTGCCGGTGGACTTGCCGTTTGGCGCGGGGGGGAAGGGGGGAGGGGGAGTTTACCTATTGATGGTGTGAAAAGGGAATTTATAAGAGCTGCGAAAGTTTGGGGTACCACTACTTGAAAAAATATACTGTACCACTGAAATTAGTTTAATGTTTAGTTTGATTTAGAACATCTTTCCAATGGTTGCTTAAATTGAAACCATCCTCTCGGTTGAAATTGTGTCTGTGTTTGTAGATCTGAATTGCTTCATGAACAAATCTGATAAAAGCCCGTGGGTTTGCAAAGAACCTTGGTATCGGAGAAAATTATATCGTGATCCCCCACAGCGTTGTAACAGTGATCAGCCACGGCAGAAGAATTCGTTTTGCCGTGTTTCAAATCTGATTTGTGCTCGCGAATTCGGTCAGATACATGTCGCTTTGTCTCCCCGATATAGCAATCACCGCAGGTACAACTCAATTTGTAAACCCCGGGGTACTGTAAATCAGGAATGACATCCTTCACGGATGGGATCAGATCACGAATTTTGTGTACTGTATTGAACCGGACCTGGATCTTGTGTTTGTTTAGAATTTTGGAAATCTTTTAGTAACGCCTGCTATATATGGAAGTGTGATGGTTTTGACCGGAGTATCAAGTGGTTGTTTCTGTATGGAGGGAGAAACAGCTTGGCGGATGGTACGGTCAGAGTAACCATTCCTTTTGAGGGCCAGGTGTACATGTTTTAATTCACTGGTCAGGTGGTGTTGGTCCGAAATGCAATGAGCCCTATGGTATAAAGTTTTGATGAGAGAATTCTTTTGGGCTGGGTGGTGGTGGGAATCAGGTTTCAAGTAGGAATCTGTGTGGGTGGGTTTCCTGTAGACAGAATGCCCCAATGAGCCATCAGGTCTCCTCTCAAACAGAACATCTAAGAATGATAGCTTGCCATCTTTCTCCACTTCCATGGTGAATTTGATGGCGGGATGTCTGGAATTGAAGTGGTGCAGGAAAAGGTTCAGAGCAGGGAGGCCATGTGGCCAAATGACGAAAGTGTCATCCACATATCTCTTCCACAGGGAAGGTCTGAGGGTGGAAGTCTGGATGGCGTCTGATTCAAATTTCTCCATGAAAATATTGACTATCACTGGTGATATCTTCGCACACAGCTTAAAGGTCGTGATCTAAGCGTGGCTTCTCTCACTCCAGCGCTGTCCTCCAGACAGTCTCGTCCCTTCACCTGATGAAGGCCGCTTGTGTTGTGGCCGAAACGTCGTGATTTTTTTGTTATTTTATTTTCACCTACGTGACTTTACCCAATGGAACCAAAGAGTATCTCTCAAAGGTGTCTTTGGTGATAAAAGTAACATTGTAATTTTCTGGCTTGCAAAAAAGAACATGTACATAATGCACAGAAGGAATAAGGTTGAGAAAAAGATCTAACGGATGATTATTGAATTACTTTTTAATATTAAAGTAGGCTAGTTCATCTCACATCCAGTAAAGCTTCCCTTCTGTTTTAGCAGCAGGGGGTGCACATTCCAGTTTGAGGTCATATCAGTAGATCGATGCATTGTGGCATCGCAAGCCTTTCCATTTCCCCTGCCACAGCCATTCAATTACATGCAGCTTTGCACACAAGTTTGACACGCTTTGACGCAGCAATGAATGAATCTGCATGCTTCGAGGGGAATCGCATCGCCTTTCGGCCATTTCTCTTCACACCCCCCCCTCCCTTTGCTCTGCTTAGTCTCTAAAGGGGAGGATTTATGACGGAGAAAAGTGCATCGCAGCTTTACCGAGTGCTTGCCAAGATGAGCCTGCTGACATTGTTTCCTGTTTAGCACCTTGAGTATCCGACCAAATAAATGCTTGGCTTCAGTATAGTGAGTGAAAGTTGCTTAGGAGCATATCTTAGTTCATTCACGGTTTTGCACTATCAGTAAAAGTGTTACGGTTTTCCTGAATAGATTTTTTTACAAAGGCCGACTTCTGGTAAATCGCAAGATTAAGCTTCAAAATATTTTTTTCTTCCCCTTTACAGTTTACAATTGGCATAATTGAGTGCTCTATTTTTAAATCATTAACTTGCTCTTAGCCGTTGGTCACTGAAAGAGCCTCACTATTATCAGTATACAGTATTTCGTAAATTTTGATTTAAAGCTTTCGTGACTGCAGGGATTCATATTCTTGGTTCTTTCGGTAAAGTCACGTAGAAGTATTTCGTAAGTTTGCATATTAATCAAGCGCTGCTCTGCATGCGAGTGCACACTCCTGGCTGATGTGGAAATTAATGTGGAGGAGAGCAAAGAACAATGGTTGGCCAGACAACCGCTATAATTTTCTGTAATTTCGGCAAACCACCAGTCCAAGTGCTTTGGGAGTAACATTTAGTAATCTCTGCAGGCATGCAGTTACCAGCTTGTTTGCATGAAAGTGGTCGAATGCTATAGCTTTGCTACTTAAAATTTGAACTTTGCTAAGAGATGTAGATTGTAACTTTTGATCATGTGTTTACTGCTTGATGTGCATTTTGATATGATGTCATGGTGTTAGCGGTCATATCTTTAATGATTCGTGGGATTTTATTATTATTTTTGTCAACCCTTGCTCTATTTCCTATTTCCTAAGTTCATTAATCACCTCACCTGGTGGAGTTGCCTTGTAACATTCCTCATTGAACGTTGTGCATGTGATTATCTTCCTGCTGTTGTCCCATGAGCTCGTTTATAACATTTTATCCTGAAGATGTGTACTTGTTAATGACCATATCAAACCTAAAATGTTTCTGGTTGTGGTGTAATAGTTTTCTGCAATGTAGCCGTTATAGCAGCTCAGGAGATTGTGTTTTTTTAATATATATAGTGTACATATATTCACATGTTTGCTGAAAGCAAATGTAAAGTTCCTCGTGGAATATTGCCTATTTACCAACATTGTTCACGTTAATAAAACGAATGCTTAGCACATGCTTCTCCCCGTTGTCATTTAGAGAATTTAGAATTGAAAATGAATGGCTCCTAAAACCCCCACCACAATCATGTCATGAAAATGTTCACAGATTTGGCAAGTTCCATGACTTGTGTTATACCGAGGGCAGGGTTTCATGCTCTAATCAAGCCACTGGAAGACATTGCTACCTCAGCACAACACGAGCAGGGTTAATTAGTTGGCAGGGGATGACAGCCTGTCTGCCGCAGAACCTTTGCAGAGGGCCTTCCAGATGCACCTCTGTGAAGTCCCAGGACCTTCACTTTACAATTGCCCATGGACCTGCCTCCAGCGACTAATTAGGTAATGAAGCGGAGGACCTGTCCGAGCAGGATCTTCACCCAGTGACATTCCAGAACAACAATTGGATCCCCAGCCTGGGGTTGCAGTTTAACCAGAGGTCACCCCAGATGAGGGTTAGCCAGGGACCACCGT